ACAACTCTTCCTCTTCTCTAAAGCAGCACAACATGGCCTCACCCCATTTGTTGCATGTTCCCGGGGGAGGGGTTTATGTAAATGTCTGGATTTGTGATGTCACCAACCTGGGAAGTAGCTCGTTGTAGTCCCTACCAGCCGTATTTGTATGCATTAAACTGCCATAATTTTAAAAGACAATATCTCCGTTTGTATGGAACTTTCAGCGTCGTAACTTTGCAGATATTGTTTATGCTCAAACAGCAACATTACACACTAACTAATGTTAAAAAATGTGAAATTATAATCAACCACCCCTTTTAAAAGTTACATAAAATAAATTTTTGACAATGGAACGATACCGAATCTCTTAATAAAACATGCTAAAAGTACAAATTAACTTTAAAATAACTAAACCTAAATTGTTTTGCAATGCAAATTATTTTTAATATCACATAGTAAGCATTTGTAATTTCTAAAAACATATTGTAATGTTAAAGGCACAATATGTAAGTTTTGGCTGCTAGAGGGCACGTATTCAAAACAAAAGCGTAGTTTTAATGACGCCGTTACTGAGTGTGGAATCATGGGAGTTATTTGTCTTCATCCCCACAGCCGATGCAATCCGACGGGACTCGGGCAGAAATCATGTTCATGGATGAGCTAATGATTTATTAACGTAGTAGAATGAAGCAGGGTGAGGCTGAAAGCCGTCGAAGCGAAACGAGGCCGCTGAACGAGCGCGACACGCGTACGGCTCGAAAGCAGTGGAGCTTTTATTATGCCACAGTCGACTGCTTCCGCTCCTTCTGGTTGTGCGTATGTGTGGTAAAGCAGAGCTGTTTTATCATACTAGATACATTTGAAAGTTCTGTTATAATGCTACTCTGTGCGGTCGTCACCTGTGTAATAAAACACATAACATATTAAAGCGTCCTTGGTGTTTCCATGTTTTCTAAAAAACAAAACCGGAAATCGAGGGTGTATGACATCATTAGCAGGCAACACAATGACACTATGGACACGGTCCGTGTCACTAGTTAAAATTGCTTATTTCTCTGGATTTAAACATTCTTCGAAACATTTGGGTGTAAGTACATGCAAGTACACAAGTCAGCAAAATATATAACACTGTTCTAGTGGTTTTTGGATATTTTAATAAAAAGATACTAATGAATACATTTTTTACATTGTTTCCTTTAATTTGTTGGGAACTATATTATATTTACTTGCATCATAAAATCTACCTGCACAGTTGACCCCCAAAAAGCAGGAGCACCCTATGTACTAGTCAGGTTAATTCATGCCATTTATTGTGCTGTGACCTTTCATGCTGAAAAACAGATCCAATAAGAGCCATCACAAAGGTGCTTTCATCAATGAAAGCAGAAGTGCAGCCACAAATCAGAATTTCAAATTAGATTAGTTTACTTATCAGAGAAGGATGCATGCATTTTTACTGAAAAGGTAACTAGATCAAAATCAGATACACTTGACCAAAAGCAATACTCATCTTTTTTTTCCCCTGTTTGTTCTGCTCTCCATCATCTTTATTGCAAGCGGCAGCAACCTCATGCTGGCTCGTCAGATTCAGGATGTTATCCTTCTCTCTGCTTCTCTGTGTTTCCATGCTCAGAACATTCCAGCTTGATATTGAAGCTCAGCAGATCTTCACCTTGAAGAAAGAAATGGTTTACTCAAATTAAAATGTCCATAATTTATTCATTCTTATTTCAATCCGAACTTGAAGGAGATATTTTAAAGTATTTTAAGCTGCTGTATTTCAAGTACTTCAAGCTGCTGTTTTGCAAAAATATGTTCTAAGAACATTTTGAAAATGTTTCCATTAAGGTATAAATACGTTATCTGAATGTTCAAAACACCCTTTTTTTTTTTAAATCATTTAAACACGTATTTTTCTTGGTTATGCGAACGTTAAGAGAACATTCCATTTTGAAAGGGAACGTTACTTTTGAATCTTCTGAAACAAGCAGTAACATTAAAAAAATTATTCAGAAAAAAAAAAACATTCCATAAATGATGTATAAATAACCTTTTTTTGTGCTTACTTTAAAGTTTGAACGAATGTTCTATTATCGTTATTGGAAGAACATTTGAGAGAACCTTGCCAGAACATTAGCCAAAGTTCTGACAATGTTCCTGTTAGAAGGACACACTGAAAATGCATGGAGATTTTTGCTCAGCCTGTCATTATACTCGAGGAATCAACAGGTGGAAAAGTTGTCGGATGTGATTTATCTCTCTGAGAAACAGCACATCTAGACTGGCCTGTGCATCTGGGATCTTTTGAATGATTTATGCAAGACTAATATAGATTTATACAACCAAATGTCTGAAGCTGTTAGATCTACACCTCTGAGATAAGTTTTCTCTCACTGAGCAGAACCAGTGCTGTGCAGCAGTCAGTATTCAAACAGATTCATTCACAAAGTATAATCATGCATTTTCTTATAGACAGACACTATGTTTTGAGGAGAGCATGCATTAGTATCTCTCTGTGTACATAGATGTGATAGATGGTTTTTATTTGTTTTACCATTTGATTTAAACTGAATCTTATGGGAGTTTAGGAGTCTAGTCTTGGATTTTCTGTTTAGACATTTTGGTCATTTCTATGCCCTTATCAGAAGTCTATAATCAGGATTCTGATGTTCATGGATCCGTCTTTGTGTCTTTCCAGGTTGTTTGTCAGTTCATAACAATCCAATCTTTGTCATTCTTGTGAGGCTAAAGCTCTACTACAATGTTTAGTCTCCAGTGTAGGGTGACCATATGTGCCATTTTCCCAGGACGCGTCCTGGGAAAATGGCAAGTATGGTCACCCTACTCCAGTGTTTTGTTTACTCCTGATTTTTCCGCACCTCTGACAAACGATTTGTGAGGCATTTATGGCTTGCAAACAATGGTTTAGTTTAATGGTTTGTATTACATACCATTAAACTACTTCTCTTTTCATAAAACATATTTCATTATACTAACATATTAAATGATCATGGGAAGCTACAGATCTGTGTCAAAGAGCTGCAAATGAATGTGAAACTGTGAGGTTGCATGTTATCAGGGATCTCCGAGGTTAACATACCACAAAAGCATATTGCAAGATGTTTTTCTGCTCAGGATAGTCACATAAAATTATATGGTTGCCAGAAAATATATATATTAAGTGTAAAAGAAAGATGATACATTTATTTATGAATTCAGCTATGATTTTTAGAGAAAATCTATTTCAGTATTTTAGACTTTCAATAAATTAACTGCTTTTACCCTACTGAATCACATTTAAAAAGATCCGACCTCAAAGAGCGATTCCAGTGTACCTGCGTGTACAGTACAAATCTGACGGCAGAGCAAATATATTTAAGTATTCCTGCTGGTTCCTTAAATGTGTGTACAGGAATCCTGTAGGTTGTTTGTAACACAGTCCTTCATGATTCCTGCAGAACTTTTCTTGAGAGTAGCACTAATGTCAAGCGGTCTCTGCTGCCCTCATGTGGCTATGAGTGGAAATGCCACACGTCCCATTATTATAATAATCAGTTTTCAAAGACGAAAGAAATGCACATATGAAATATGATGAAAATATCATTTGAATATGAAGATTCTTATAGCATGATCACATACTTCTAAAGATTGTTATAAATATATAATATGCATTTTAATTATTTGGAAGCCTAGAAGAATGTACATAAATATAAAGGGCAGACTGGAGCTAGGTCTGTATAAAAGCTAGAAAGATTTGCATTTACATGAAGCATTCTCTCCAGCGGTAGTTGTGTATGTTGGTGTCAAAAACGTAATCCAAACCTCTAACCTTAAATCAGATTATTTTTTATGAATTCTGTCTATGAAACTAGAATTTTATATTTTTATAATACCTTATTATTGAAAAAAAAATGTATTATATTTTTATTTTTATTATTAAAAAGAAAGTGAACACAGCAAAATCACAGTGGAATACATTCAGACGCAAGTTGGCTATATAATGAAGGCAGATTTGAATTGAATTATTGAACTGTGATGGCCATTTTTGCTGTTTCTTTAATTGGTTGTGTTTCCTAATTTCAAAATATTTATATTTTGATGAAAAGCCTATGATAAACTCCTTGGTTCCCCATGTGACAACATACCCCATGAGCTATTGCTATTGGGGCATGTGGTCACAAAAGGTCTATGTGTGTTCAGTGAACTATATTATTTCTGCACTCTAAGGGTGAAAATATACTGCGTATATATAGAAAGTGAAATTTGGCCTGGTGAAGAGCGATATGACGTGGATGTGGATGTATTCTGGACAGGATTTATGAGATAAACAATGTGCTTCTGCACTTTTTTTAAATAGTATTTTAAAACATAATATGTATTCATTTCAATATTTATTGACCATTTATTATTTTACTGTTTATATTTTGATAAAAAGCTTATAACCGTTTGTTTGGTGCCCAGTGTGACAACTTACCCCATTAGATATTACTATTGGGGCATGTTGTCACAAAAGGTAAAGCGAAATCTAATGTCTTTCTTTTAATATTAGGGTGAAATACGACCTGGGCGTGTTCTTGACAGGACCTGTGAAATAAACAGAAACGGTACATATAGAATAAACTAAATATAACTTGTACTCATGCATGACAACATGCAAACACACACACACACACACACACACACACACACACAAATTCTTCATGTGGCATGAAATAATTTTTTTTTTGTAAATAAAAAGATGAAAAACAAAACAAAAAAAACTGTCATGTTTAATTCAGTGTTTGTTTGTTTTTGTTTTTTTGCAATTATTAGTGAAATTTACTAGCAATTTCTGAGTGTAAAATGCTTTTAAAGTCAACCCTACACTAAATTCTCTTCAGTGTAGTTTGAGAGTACATCCTTGTTTATCCTCTGTGGGAATTTGCAAACAAATGAGATCCGTGCAGGTGTAGACTTACATGGCCCTGACCAATCACTGTAGAGATCTGAATCTATATATAGCTGCTCCCAAACCCCCCTCACACTACCTGCCGCAGGTAAAACAGCAGACCGCGTCTCGCAAGCACGCTCAAAGGCACCTCTAATCCGCACCATGTCGTTCAAGAGCCCTTCCAGGAGTTTCTCCAGCTCAAGTCTTTCTGGCAGCATGGGGTCAAGGGGCAGTTGGTTTGGGGCCATTTCCCCAGCCGCTATAGGGAATCTGGCAAACACACTGCGTCCGATCGTGCAGATCAACAGCAGCACTTTTGCCCCAGCTGATGATAAAGAGACCATGAAGGGTCTGAATGACCGTCTGGCGGGGTATCTGTCAAACGTACGACTCCTGGAGGACTCCAACAATCAACTGGAGGAGCAAATCAAAGAGGCTCTGATGAGGAAAGGAGCTGAGAGCGGCAGAGACTGGAGCGCCTATGAGAAGATCGTTGCGGATCTGAGAAACCAGGTGAGCAAATAAAGGTTTTGTTAAGTACTCATGCATGCTTTTTTATCATAAAGTACACAAGCAAATGTTTGGACACACCTGCTCATTCTATAACTATTTTCCTTATTTTAGAATAATAGTAGGCTATATCATGAAACAAATGAAAGTTTAGGAATTATGCTGGCCAAATATGTTCTTCTGTTTGAGCTTCTGAAAAGCTTCCGCCCTTTAAATTCCAGCTCTGCAACTTCTTTAAAGGCATGAGATGCAAGTTTATATGTATAATGGTCACTTGTTGATGTTTTTTACCTGCTCCAACTCATCTATTAAAAATTTTAAAAAATTATTACAATTCAATTTTAAGTCTGTTTATGGTTGTGTATGTGATTTAAGCTTGTAAAGACAAATGTTCAACAACAACTTGCTTATAATATGTTGCAACCGTAAAGTTTTAATTAAAATATATTGAATTATTAATTGAATGTAGAACTGATTCAATAAAAAAACTATTCAATATCTATTTTTCATAATGCATTTTTATTTATTTTATTTTAGTAAAAAGATGCATTTTGCATGAGTGACCTCAACAAAAGCAGCAAAAGACAATAATGTTACAAACTGGCAAGAAAACAACTGAAATACAATTAAGAAACAAAATGGAAGAAATATTATTATAAAAAATTACAAAAAAAAAGTCACAAAACTTTTACTAGGTATCCGAACTGGTCTGAGTGCTGTAACCCTTAGAAGATACATAAAAAAAAATAAAAATAAAAAAACAGTTTTTAGTATAGGAACCAAACTTTGGTAATGTGTCAAGACTATCAAAATGAATTTAGAAAATAGTTTTTAAGAGATATAACAATTTAAAAGACAATATAATGATATGCATTAAAGGTTTTATTTATTTTGCATTTATTAAATTATTTAATTACTTTATATGATTTAGTCTATTTTCCTTTGTTGGTTATTAGCATAAAGTTTAATGACAACTGTAAAAAAAAAAAAAAATCTACTATTTGTTGAAATGCTGTAATGAGAACCCTAAATGCAAGACGATGCTATGAGTGTTTGTGTTTGTACATCAACTCCTCAGATCCAGGAAATGACTATGGACAATGCCAGACATTTCCTGCAGATAGACAATGCGAGGCTTGCTGCTGACGATTTCAAAGTCAAGTGAGTTATTTGGTTTTTTTATCCCCTGATGAAATGTTAAAAACTCTCAAATTAGGAAAACTTCTCACAAAAATAGGCTATACAAATATTTCATATTGTGTAAATACAAAGCAGTCACCGAGCTGCAGCGCAGTTTGCTGTAAATACACACACCCTGTAGTCTCTGATGTAAATGAGCGCTCCGGGCAGGTTTGAGTCGGAGCAGGCCATGCGGCAAGGGGTGGAGCAGGATATGGCACGACTCCGCAAGATGCTGGACGACACTTACATGGGCCGCATGCAGCTGGAGAGCCAGATCGAGTCTATGAGAGAAGAGCTGGCTTTCCTGAAGAAGAGCCATGAAGAGGTACACGCCTTAAACACACCATTCAACACTGATTAAACAGCAACACCTCAACCCTACAGAGATGCACTTGCAGGTGGTTCGTTTGATCTGTGTTTGTATGAGACTCACTGTTGGACCACAAACAGCCTTCTAATCACAAGCAGCAGCAGCAGTTAGTACATTAACAGAGCGAAACGAAAGCAAACATCAGTCCTGGAAGTCAAATCGAATTAATTTTAATAAATCAACGTGATTTCACCTTTGAGAAAATGAATCAACAATTTCATTTAATTTTTGACATTAATATTAACACTATAATATTAATATTGCTTGAATTAATTGAATATTTAAATTATTTTATATATTATATTAAAATAATGGGAAATCGTTAAAAAAGTAATATTTTAATCCATAAAATCATTATTTGAGCTATTGTCAACAGATCTTCCCACCCAACATGCCTGGTTTTTCTATGCTTTAGGGCAAGCGTTAAACAAACTCAGCTCTCCGGCAGCAGCTATGTTGCCAGATCCTGCCAATATAATCCATGCAACTAAATCCATTGATCATTTTATTTTACAGGATGTTGCCAATCTGACAAACCAGATCAGCGGCTCCCAAGTCAATGTGCAAATGGAGACTAAAAACAGTGCAGACCTCAATGAGGTCATTAATAACATCCGCACGCAGTACGAGCGAGCCGTGCAGAAGAGCCGCGAGGAAACTGAAGCCTGGTATCAAAACAAAGTCAGTCATATTTTGCATTCTTTTGTTTTCTCCTTCTGTTTTATATATATATATATATATATATATATATATATATAACAGCACATATAATAATTGTGTCTCTTAAGGATTAAAGGTTAAGCACCATCTTTTTTTTTTTTTTTGTGAGTTGTGAGTTGTGACCCTATGTTGTGCCCTATGGGAAAGTGCCTTTTATTTAGGAGAGCTTTGTGCCTAATTATAAGGCAGCACTATATTGTCATGTGACCCAGATCCCTTGTTCTCTTTATCCCTCTCTATCCAGTTTGACAACATGACAGCTGAGGTGACTCAGAACACAGAAGCTCTGCAGGCAGGAAAGACAGAGCTGAACGAGCTGCGCAGGCAGAAACAATCTCTAGAAATTGACCTGCAAGCTCTGCACAACATGGTACGGTACACAGATTACACAAATTATCCACTTGACAAATCACTCAGCATTCTACACAGTCAGCACTCTCACCTGGCAGACATGTGCATCGTTTAAATGATTATGAGATGTGATTGCACGAAATGTTCCAATGCCTGTCTCTGTGCATGCATGTCATCTGAATTTACACATTATTCCTGTGCACCCAAGTGTTTTTTTAAACCATGGGAAAACAGGGGCCGTTTTTATATGGCGGTTTGTCAAGATCATTTCTGAAGCACATTTCTGCAGAGAAATAATTGCTGGAAGTCAAAAAGTTTGACACACCTACTCATTATTTCTCACATTTTAGAATAATACTAGTCATTTATAAATAACACAAATGAAAACAAAAATACTGGAAATAGAAAATCTAATAAAAATTAAATTAATGAAATAATATAATAAAAAATGTAATTAATGAAATATACTAAATGTAAAAAAAAATAAGAAAAATAAGAAAACAAAAGCTGTTTTTATATAGTGGTTTGTCGAGATTGTTTTGTCAAGATCATTTTTTTGGACTTACTTGAAGCACATTTCTGCACAGAAATAATCACAGAAAAAGTCAGAAACTTTGACATACTTACCTTACCTACCTTTGACATACATGCCTTTATTATTACTATTTCCCACGTTTTAGTATAATAGTAAAGTCATCCATCAAATAACAAAAATGGAAACAAAAAGAATGAATATATAATATATATTTTAATATATTATATAAATT